ACATGACCTTCTGTACTCGTTTAAAGTTGACATCAATTTAATACTTATAACTCTCTATATATTGGGTATATCTTCACGAAATTTGGCAGTCTTTCAGTTAATATTACAAGTCTTTCACATACAAAAAGTCATATTTCTTAGTGAAGTACTTTTAATAAAATAAAATAAAGTTTTGTCCTTGAATATTTTGAGTATTTGTTTTGAATAATCCGTGTGCAAAGTAATTTTCATGTTAAAATGAAAAATACTTTTCACCATTTCAAAAATATTTTCTTTGTGTAATCTCTAAAACCTCCCAAATGCATTTCAAACGTTTTTTTCACTAATTCCTTATAATTTATATGTTATTTTCTCTACCCTAATTTCAAAACGGGATCGGTCAATTCGACCGACCTCGTAACCACCAAAAAAAAATCGGAATAACCTTAAATTAACTTTCTTTTCTTTCTGGTATAACTTCAAATTGTAACATGAAACTACATTCGTTTATCCTAAGTAGCTCTATGTTCGTAGATGTATTTATTTAATTATAAATACATCTATTTATAATTAAATTTTATTGTTTTATTGCCCTATGAACTGTCTAACACGTCTAACTGCTGTCTGCGCCATTATAAGTTGTAAATCACTCGGGGAACGTGCAGCTCACGTTACGCTATCGAATTACATTACCCACAAGCTGCTTGAGTGTGTGCTTCGTGAACAATTTTAATTATATTATTATTACTTATTTTACCTATTCTAGTCTTAAATAACTTAAAAAGATCCGTACTTTTAATTTTAGTTACTTTTATAATAATAATAAATAAAGAATAAATATGAAAACATGAAATAAAGTACTTACCCAATCTTCTTTTTTCTTGCCCTCCATTGTCGATGAGAGTTAAGCCTGATTTTTTAAAGTTATTATAGTAAAGCACTTAAATTTTTTATTTAATTAAATAATACACCAAAGAATATAGACTAATAACATGCAAAAAAGTAGTCAAATTCACTTACTTCTAAAAATTTCCCGGGCTTTCTAATTATGCGACAAGAGCCTTTAGAAAGCTAATTGTTAACTTTCGCACTAGAACGATGTTGTTACTGAGAGTGACATTGACGGTTTTCTGTTCAAAACACAATGTTATACAATAGGCCATTTGATAGATGAAAACCTTGACTTTCTATTGGTTATGAATAATATATAATGAAACGTAAGAGTGAAATATCAACCAATTGTGAAAAAAAGGATGTGACAGGTGGGTGTGGCAGGAGGGGTCTGATTTTCTCTTTGATAGTTCTGTAACAAAACAAAATTGAAGGCCATAAAAATTATGGTCTGTTTGAACAATAACGATTTTATAGAGAGCATTTTACGCACATTTTCGAAGGGTGATGGATAAAATAGGGATGATGACACGCTAAGACAAAATTTGTCATGTGTGTTACACTAGTGTAAATTCAGGCTTTTTTAAATATATTTCCTTGTAGAATTAAGAACTTAAAACTTAGCATGGATTATTAGCTAAGATTTTATCCTATTCTAATAGGTATAACATAAACAACAAGTAGTTTAATGAAATTTTGAATGTAAGACATTAAAACCTTGTGACATGCGCAGTAAAGGGTACCCGGGCCGATAGGGTGAACCGAAAGGATAGATAGAGATCGAACACCTGATCCTCATTAATTCATGTTAACTGCATTTGATAATAACGGTTGAACAAGACTTAAACAAATCGTTTCTCTGTATTATATTTGCAAAGCACTATCTACTAACTTATGTTTGGATTACCTTCTGTATTCATGCATCATATTTCTATTGGCACAGCACTGTCTACTTACTTATGTTTGGATTACCTTCTGTATTCATGCATTACATTTCTATTAGCACAGCACTGTCTACTTACTTATGTTTGGATTACCTTTTGGGATATTCTTTGCTTACGAAGACGTATCATAGCTGTTTTTAGCGCAAAACCACGTATTAGTTTACCTACGCCCTGTCCACTACGGGGAATCAATCCCCCTGCTTTGAGCGTTTCAAGTCCATAAACTTAGCGCTGACTTACTGATGAACTTACTATAGCTACTGATTAAGCTATATGTACAGGCCCGCCGACAGGGGGCAATTGCCCAGGGGCCCGGGCGAATGAAACCTGTTTATGCCGTAAAGCCCGCAAAGAATATTTTTGGCTATATCTTCATTTAATGATAAAAACCATAG